GATTATCTACTTCCCTCACCTTCTCGTATGTTTCTTTCCTGGTTCTGGTTTCCGAGCCACCCAATTACACCTTCCTGTAAATTCCTTCTCAGAAAGTGCCTGAAGTCATGTTCTAGTGAGAAGAATGAAGTCATTTTTTTGTTTTGTTTTGTTTTTGTTTTTGTTTTTCGAGAGGTTTTTGCTATAGGGTGCCTGTGCTTGCCAGAAAGAGAGAGACAGAGAGATTAAAGCGAGAAATCACCCCCTGGGGAGATGGCCACTCTTCAATCCTTCTCCGCCATTCTCCTCTTGGAATCTTGGTACATGAGTTTAAGCCACCGGGTCTGGGACTCGAACCGTGGTAGACTATGTGGGAGTCCAGTGACATAGTCATTACGCCAACTGCTGGTCCCAAAAGAATGAAGTCTTTAGAATCAGATAAACTAGCGTTTGAATCCAAGTTTACTGAGAACTTGGGCAAGTACCCTATTCCTCTGAGTTTTAGTGTCCTCATCTGCAAATTAAAATAATACCTATCTTTTAGATTGCTGTGTAGTTCAAGCCAGCAGCTTTGGTCACCTTAATGTGTACATAATCCTTCTGGAATGTTGTTAAAAGACAGATTGTGGAGACCAGCAGATGGCATAATGATTATGTCGCTGAACTCCCACGTGGTTGACCATGCTTTGAGTCCCAGACCTGGCAGATTAAAACTCAGTCCAAGTGTGTGTGCTCAAGATCCCAAGAGGAGAATGGAGGAGAAGGGATTGTGGCATGGCTTTCAGCCCTGGAGGATGATTTCTTGCTTTCTGTCTTTCCAGCAAGCACACACACCCTATAGTGAAATCTCTCTCTCTCTCTCTTTCAAAAAAAAAAAAGACTGATTCTAGGTCAGTCCTACAGCCTAGTGGTTAAAGGCATCAGATCCCACGTGGTGGACTGTGGTTTGAATCCTGGCCCTGATGGCTTTTACATAACACTGGGCATGTGTACATATATTCTCCAAATCTCTATAGAACAGAAATGCAGGGGAAGGGATTGTGATGTGATCCTGCCCCATTGTGGAATGCTTTCTCTTTCTCCCTGGAGAGCATACTTACTCTCTGGTAATTGGAAAAAAAAAAAGGGCAGGTTCTGATTTAGTAGGTCTTGGATGGGCTCAAAAGTGTGCATTTCCAAGAGCTTCTACTTGTTGATGCTAGTGATACACGGATCACATTTTGAAAAGCAAGAAATTAACGACATAACATTTGAAAGAGTCCAGCATCAATGTCCCATTGATGATATATCTCTGGTCTGTAGGGGACCTGGTGCTTCCGGCTGTCCAAATGAGACTAAATCAGAACGCTGCTTACTAAGATACATTCAGGTGCAACCCTACTCATCTGAGCTTTAATTTATTTCTATTTTCTCTCCACTTCCATATCTTTCTTTTCCTTTTTATTCAAGTACTTTGTTATTGTTATTTATTTGTTTGCCTAACAACAATACAGGTAACTGTTTTTAGGAGTTGTCCTTTTAAACAGTTATAATTGACATACAATAAGTTATGCTTACAGGAGACAATAGGTTCCAACATATGTACACACACGAGACTGGCGTCAAACTCGAGATAATGAACATATCTATCATCTGCAAGATTTCCTCAGGGGCTCGTGATCCCTCTGCCCCCTGAAAACCACTCACCTGCTTTCTGTCACTATATGTTAGTTTGCCTTTTCTAGAGTTTTATAAAAACAGAATCATAAAGCATATAGTCCTTTTTTGTTTGAGTTTGTGTGCATAATTACTTCATCTGCATTGTTGTGGTTCTCAATAGTTCATTCCTCAGAGGTTGCTGAAAGTATTCATTGTATATATATACCACAATGTATGTATCCGTTCACTTCTTTTATTTTATTTTATTATTTTATTTTATTTATATTATCATCATAATCTTCTTTATATTACATTGGATTACATATAACTTTACATTGACTTCCATTGCTTTTTCAAAAGGGAATGCCATGCATGTCAGTCAATACAGAGACATCAATCTCCCCGCTTTATCATTCAATGTCTTTTCCATGCATTTCCCAATAATTAT